CAGAATGGAACCCAGTCGTAAATCGGGAACAGTCTGTATACATAACCATGAGCACTTTACTTCACTTAAAGTCACAGCAAAGTAATAGACCTTCTTTACAGGAAGATAAGTAAAGCAGCAGAGGTCTTGAGCTAAATCTGATCTGATCTGCGCAGGGGGCTTTTAGCACAGAGGAGCAAGGATTCCCCTATTTTAAGCCATAGACATGCCCAGCTTGGGATTCCCCTTTAGCTGCAGAAGGCCATGGGGGATGGGTCCACTGCTACTCCATCTAGGAAGGCCTATTTCACAGGCCTGAGTTCTGAGTAGAGAGTACTGCATACCAGTGGGACAGCAATATACCATCTGCAGATTCTCAGAGGTACGGAGCCTTTACTAAGAAACACAGTGCAAGCTCAGTTTCATTTAGCAGACACTGATCTCCACTGCAACACAGAAGTGAGGGTCAGAAAGTGGGCCCAGCAGCTGTCTCCAGAGTAAAGCTGCGCCGAAGCTGGGTTTACTGGCCTGCCTGATCAGTAAAAAAACAAATAAAAAAAGAAATGTAGGTAAAGTTTTATGTTTAACTCCCATGAAAATTGCAATAAAATTCAACAGCTACGTCCACACCTGCACGCAAAATTGAGCATTACCTTCATCAAGAAATGCCAACAGATACTTAAAGAAACAAAGAACTGATTGAAGAAGGAACCAGCAAAGGATCAGGGCGTCTTGGCCCCAGGGATGACAGAGAGCACTGCCTTTAGCAGCCCCAGGCCCAGGATATGGCTGGGGTGGGGTGGCGGGTGGGGGCTCTTCACGTGGGACATTAGTTATGGCGTTTAGTGACAGGCAGGCAGACACAGAGATGAAGCTGTCTGACAGTCAGTGCTGAATGTAACCCCATGTGCTCTCAGAGATCACAGGCAAAACACTGATTGGATGACGCCTCAGGCAAAGCGGCACGGAGCGAAATGCGCACAAACTGATTTGTAAATGAGAAGAGGATACATCATAATGTAAATTACTTGAACCAAAAAGCAGGAAGCATCATTCATCAACAATTACAATGCTTTCATTTAGCATCAGCATACAGTGAGCTGTCTGCCCATTGAAGGCATTGATCCTCCACACAGTATACAAACACCACAATTAATTAATCTTGTCTGATGTCATCTGGTGACTTACTGTGCTGCCACAGGCATTTTTCTACTCCTGTGGCAAGTGATAGAGGAACTGCAGTAACTGCAGGAAACTGTTTTTTTTTTTTTGCTAAATGCAAGACTTAATTAATGCAATGGGTACTGATAACAGTATTAGATGTTTAAAAAAAAAGGAAATTAAGTCTTGCTGGTACAGATTGTATCAGGGCTTATTGGAGCAACCAGGAACAGCTCAGCTGAAATGAGCAATTAGTGAGGAATGGGGAGGGGGCGGGGCTGCTGGATGGGCATCGTAGGACAAGCCCCCTTCCCTTTGACGTGAGCGCTGTATGATGCTTCCCATTGTGATGCTTCAGGTGACTGAAGTTATTTTAAAACATATTTTATCAGCAAGGTATCAGAGCTGATGACCTCAATAATACTCTGAATGGGACAGGTACCCAGGCCTCTGTGTTCAGTGCCCCCACCTGTATAAGACCTACTGACTCCCAGTCCCAGCGCCCCCTAGTGTGACGTGACTCTACTGCCTTCAATAAGACATTGGGCCTTAACTATGCACGTAAATCTGTGATGATGATAAAGAAAATTACTGTGCAAACCCCAGCCATAGCATATGTGATAGCATGTACAGTAAGGCCTGCTTTCATTAACAAAGACTGCATAATTAATGTGCAATAATTAGGATACTTTATCCATTTGCCATCAGTTAAGCAGCCCTCCTCAGGAAACAAGGAAAAAATTACCATGCTTCAGGCCATAATTAGAGCGCCAAACCATGCTTTACCTCTTAACTATGAAGGAAGCTGGATGTTTACATTTAAAAAAAAACTCATTTTAAACCAGAGCAGTAACCAAAGATAATGGAAATTTTCAATAAAGAAGTACGAAAAGGGCGGAATAGGGAAAGCAAGATTTAGTTATCTAGCAGGAAATACATTAATTTATTAAAATGCAAATCCACAGCCTGATTAATGGATCAGAAAATCATTGAAATTCCTTCTATAATGTAAGCGCCATAAATGATCTTCTTCATCCCATATTCGGCTTTAGTGAACACAGTAGTTTTGCTCCCGCTGGTGCCTCCCTTGAGTAGAAATTAACCTGAGTAATGTGTGTTGTTGGGGCAGAACCTGGGCTCTGGGTTTAAGAAGCTGACTTGTAAGGGAGTGTGGTTTTCTGGGTCAAAATTATACATACAGGCTCAAATATACAAATACACCCCCTCTAATATTTGGTGAAATGTCCCTTAGCAATCTGTACCTCGACCACATAAGTGTGTGTGTGTGTGTGTGTGTGTGTGTATATATATATATATATATATATAACCTAGCCCATATGGTTCTTGAATTCAGAAAAGAAATAAAAATGAGCACTGCAATGTGTTTGATTTATACAAAGAATGTGTCTCTTACTTCACTGGTAGTTCATAAAGAATGTGATCAGTATTTGAATAAGGTTACTGGTAATACCCATCCCTACTGTGAATTAGGTAGTCCAAGGTCCAGGAGACTGTGGGGCATCAAGCTGCATGGTCCTGAGCTCATTCCCCAAACTGAGAGGCTGGAACCTTATGAGCTCACTGCACCTCTCTCCTAACACTCTGAGCTCCTTTCTCTGCCCCCCTTTAACCCTAATGAGCCTCCCCTCACCTGTCTCTTACGTACTCTACGTCCCCTTCTTTGCTGTGTCCTATACAGTCTTGGCCGTGTACCATTATCATAAGTCAGTACTGTAAGTACTATAGGATCATAAACATATCATCGCTGTCTTATGGAAAACAGGTACCTCCAAATACCAAATTTTTCAGGAGCATGGAAAAAATGAATTTTCTCTGAAACTAATAAAGAAAAAGAAAAACCTAAAACAATTAAATGAGACAAATAAAAAAAGTATTCACACAGCAGTTAGTGAATGGTTAAGTATACTTTGGGGTTAATTTGACTAAACATACCGCGCTCTATTTTGATGATCTAACGAAAAGCATAAAATGCAAAGCGCAACTAACATTTATGGGTGTGTCCGAATCACGGTGCAGCACCTGTGTGAAGTTGCCCCCCCCCCCCCTATGTTTCAGATTTCAACCAAACTGGTCTCAATCGTATGTGCCGCGTTTGTGCCGGATTGTGCCATTAAAATTTTTGTTTGTGCTATTGCATAAAATGTGCTAATTTGTTCAGAAGAGATCCATCCATCCATCCATCACTGTAACTGCTTAATCCCAACTGGGGTGGTGGGGGGGGACCAAAGCCTATCCTGGGAACAATGGGTGCAGAAGGGAACCAACCCTGGCCAGTTGCCAACACACTGCAGGATGCACACACAAATCAACCTGCCCTGCATGCTTGTGGGCTGTAGGAGGAAACTGGAGCCCCTGGCAGAAACAGACATGAACACAGGGAGAGCGTGTAAACTCCACACAGAAAGGAACTGGGACTGAACCCAGGACCTTCTTGCTGTGAGGCAGCAGCGCTAACCACTGCACCACCGGGCCACCCCCAGAAGAGATCCAAATTCATTAAATAAAAATTTCAAAGAACCCTGCAACATGCTTTTGTAATCTAAATGGTTCATTTTCCTCCAGAAAATCAAATTAATTTACGATAACAACACTTATCCCAACAAGCCCAATACGCACAAACACACACACACAGGTATCGCCAATCAACATAGAATAAGCCCAGATTGTCCTCTTATGAAACTCTTCTTCAATTGACTCCCACTCCACATTGTCATCCACGAGTATATCAGTCACCTCTGTCTGTGAAGTGCTCTGTTCTGTCTCTTACCAAGAATCAACTGAGGCTGTAGTAAGGTTTTGCATTTACATAAAAACCACACCCTTTTGTTTTCTGACAGGTGCTATACTATGTAAACATTTTACTTTTTTTATCTGGAGGTACAGGCCTGACAGAGAGAAACATGTGTTGTTTTCTTTTCAAAGATTTTCGACCTCAAACCTGACTGGGCTTCCATGGCAACAGAAAAATGTATTACACTAAAAATAGCTTTAAAGCAGTCTAAGATCTACTACAGTAAATGAGTAGTCAAAACTCACCCCAAAGTAGGGCTGCTGCAATTAGTATTCGATGATGTTGACGCTGAAAATGTGTATTTTAAAAAAATTATTTTTATGAAATTGCCTTTATGATTTCAAAAGCTCTTTAATGTTTTTCTTCAATAGCACTACGTAATTATGAGAGTAGTTCAAATTGTCACAAAACAAAAAGGTGGTTTGTACACTATGCAAAGTTCAATACCATACCACAGTGGCACAAGCGCTATGCACAAGGAATAACACACAGGCGCTTTCTGGATGATGGGTTGCCAGGATAAGAAAAGCACTGTAAGCTTTGTCTATTCGTGTTTATAAAATTTCATTTAGAATGGAGAGCTTTTTAATATCTTTTGTCCTTGTAGCTGCTAAATACAGTGATTATTAAAGCCATAAAGTTGTCTGCCTGCTACCATAGAATTTTCTATAAATGGTGAAATATGGTGGTCCTCAACACCATTTACACAAAAGGGTGCAGGGAGTTTATAGTGAAAACCACGCCAGGGCCAACAAGGCTGAGTAAGTCATGGACAGATGATACTTTATCTGCATTTCAGATGTTTATTTCAAGGCCAGTGGAAGATATAATTACAGAAATGACAAAGCTGGAGGGGAAGAGGAGGTTTGACAGTGACTTACAAGAGATCAATCACAGTGAGTTTAGTGCCTACCTCAGGTTAGTAATTCTTCAGTCTTCAGATCTAAAGGAGAAACTGCTGTTAGTCTGAGAGATTCCATCACAGGAAGGCCGATTTTTCCTGCAATTATGTCCTGAAGATGTTCTGTGCTCTCAGCAACATTGCAATTTTGACAATCATGAAACACGAGATTCATGGAGAAAGACGGATAAACCGGCAGCCATGAGAGACATTCGGGGCATCTGGGTAGAGCAGCTGCCTTGTTTGAACAACCCCAGCCATGACATACCTGAGGATGACCAGGTGATTCCATTCAATGGTAACTAACTTATGTTCTTTATTACTTATTTTTTAAAGTAGTTAAACCTTTGTGAACTACTGAAGGAACAGAAAATGAATATCACAAAAGGTGAAATACTGATGTGAAGACAAACCCGGATCGTTTGCAATGACTACACCCGCTTGCACGATCCAATTCAGCTGCTTCATTTTAGTTCTAATTGCCAGTAGTATAAAACCAGGTAAAGGGTGCAGTCGTTGAGGGCTTTTGCCTTGTTATGCTGAGCAGTTTGTCTGGCCTGTTCTTCCCTGTTTGCTTGTGTTTCCTCCTGTGTGCATGTTCTCCCAGATCCTGTCACCCAAGCTGATCCCGACCTCCATCTCGGTGTGCTAGAGGGTCCTCCTTCCCCTGCATCATCACGAATGTAAACCGGTTCCTTCACTCCCCTGCACAGATTATCCAGCTTTACAATATCTGCTCTGAACCCTCACTTTGATTCCCATCCTGTGATTTGGCTTCCTGGTTGCACCACATTCGGGTACCCTGTTCCTTCTGTGTCCCATTACAATTGGGTACCCTGTTCCCGCTGTGTCCCGTTACAATTGATTTCATATTTATGCATCGTAAATGAATCGTAACACATCTTTTATCTCAAGTAGCTACTATATTTGTTCATGATTTGTATTTGAGTAGCAACTGAGTTACTAAGTTACTAAAGAGCCATATTGTAAAGTGTTATCAATAAATTTCATTTTTCTAAAATATTTAGCAAATTGGTTTATTTGATACCAAATACGTGTTGTCTTTATGTGCTCTTGCAGATTGCTGTCTATTCCGGCAGTACATGCATAAAGGATCCAGAAAGTATTAAATTATGGCTGGGTCTCAGCACACAATCCAGTTACGCCTGGAAAGTCCAAGTGCACACTGGTAAACCGGCTGACTGATCAAGAAAAAAGAACCAGTCCATGACCGCTGTAATGGATTTAACCCAAGGGCTCGGTGGTCACAACACAACCTGTAACAATTTTTTCACGTCTTTTGAGCTTGGGAAAGAGCTCGTCAAAGAGAAACTAACAATGCTGGGCACTGTGTACAGGCCCAAAACAAGCCTGAGCTGCAGTCTGCTCTACTGCCAGTGAAAGACAAAGCAGTGTTCTCATCTAAATTTGTTTTACTTGTGATACAGCTGTTGTTTCCAATATATCTTACTGTGTAATATATATCTTCCAATATAACATACTGGTTATAAGTACCACCCATGATAGTGCTCATGTGAGTGGCAGGGTGAAGACAAAACTTCAGATGGTACTAGACTGCAAAAATTTTAAAGAAGAGGTTGTTAGAACATCCTTGATAAGGTCACTGCAGCTCACAGTTGCAAGAGGAAAATGGCATGCTGGCCCCTTCACCGTTTGTTTTTAATATGGCTGACATTGCCATTCTTATTTAGAGGTAGTTAAATCCATCATGGAAGGCAGATGAAAATAATGTGAGACTGCAGTTTCTGGAGGAGTTGGGGAAAGCCCTTATCACTCCTTCAAGGCAGCAGAGGCCACGCTTACTAGCCTGACTGGTGAGGGCGGCGAAAACAATGGCCTCTGCATCCACCTCCTCAACAATGCAATATGCGCAAAAGGGGCGTGGACCACAAGACAAGCATTATGTGCTCTGAGGGAAATATGTTTGCAAACAGCAGCTTGTTGTGTTTTGTTGTGCTTGCAAAAAATAAATGCATGTCATTTGTTTTTAGTTTTTAGTGTTTATAATAACATATAGTAATGATAGAGTGCATGGTGGTGCTATAGTTAGCACTGTTGCCTCACACATTTGGGACCACGGTTCTATTCTCTACTATGGCTCCAGTTATGTGGAATGTGCATGTTCTCCCTGTGTCATCATGGGGTTTCCCCTGGGTTCTCCGGTTTCCCCTCACAGTCCAAAAACATGCTCAGGCTAATTGGAGTTGACAAATTGCCTGTGGGTGTGAAAGGTGTGTGAATGTGCCCTGTAATGGATTGGTGCCCCATCCTGGGTTGTTCCCTGCTTTGTGTCTGTAGCCTCCAGCATAGACACTGGGCTCCCTGTGACTCTGAATTGGACAAGCAGTTTCATAAAATGGTTGGATGGATAGTAATGATGATGATGATGATGATGATGATGATGATAGTAACCTCCATATAATGATTATACAACAACAATAATTGTAGTGCTGATGGGACAGCTCTGCATAGCGGGGCTAATTAACATATCCCAGCATGCTCCATGGGTACTGTAAATAGTCCCTTTGTGTATTATTGTAAAGACTTGTGCTGTATTCCCTATTATCCCGTGTATCCTTGTCTATGTCATATATGAACCCTGTCCAATCCTCGTGTATCTTTAGCCATTGTGTATACTGCCCACTCTGTGTGTGCCTTACTGTCTGATCTCCCTGCATTTCCTTGTTATGTGTATCAGTGATTGTTCAGTGTCTATGTTAGTTCTTCTAAGGGCTTTAATGAAAGGGTGTTTTTCACCCTTAAATAAGCCTCTTTGTCTCTTGCTGCCAATGCAATGTTTTGGTCTGCCAAACTGTACAATAATAACATTAATATAGCAAATTGCATAGTTTGATTGCATGATTATTTCTCTTGTTAAAAGATTGCAACAGGTCTAAATATTTCTATGCAGTGGCACAGAGAATCAGTATAGTAAAATATGAAGAATTCAAAAGTACAATAATGGCAAAGAGCAACACCGTGGCAAATCACTGACAGCAAAAATGCATACGTACAGTTTGAATGTCATTAATATAATTGTTTTAATTTCCAAGCATGTGCTTTGTGGCTTTCATAATTATTCTTAGTGTTTATATTCATATTCATAATCCAATTTTATTACTCAATATTAAATAAACTTGTCACCGTTCAAAACCCATTAAATATTCCCCCATCCATCATTGCCTCCAGGCCCTGGTGATAACGCACAGTCTGGGTGAGGTCTTCACTGTTCAGGGCTGCAGGGAGGTGTTCCATAAGCAAGCAGGCCACTGTGGACGCTCACAGACAGGGCAACACTATTCAGGCAAACACAACACAGCTGAGTCATGCAAGAGCAGCAAAAAACTGAGAAACAAACATGCAGACTGTGACAGACTCACCAGGATACGTCTCTTTTCAGGTACAAGGATGAAAAAATAACTTCCAAAATAAGACTTCCAGTCTGCACTATTCCCCATATTTTAACACTATTTAGCCATTTTCCATTGTGTCCAGTGTGGGGCATCAGAGAGTGATTCAGGACATGTAACCTCAAAGCTGATAATTCAAGTGTGCAGAGGTTGCCTGCTGCTAAACGCTTAGGAAAGGCACAGCATCTAGAACATCCAGGTGTATGAAGGATTAAAGCTGTAACAGGTTCTGGCGAGTATAGTTGTGGATAGTAATAAACTTGTATGACTCAAATTGTTCGAGAGATCTGTTTTGTTAGTGAGAAGACTCAGAAGACTCAGAAGACTCAGAAGACTCAGAGACAGGGTTATGCTCCCCCAACACACTCCCGTGAAGGCCAGCTGCTCTCTCTACACACCGTCAGCCACACAGAGCTGAGCATGGGAGGTTCTGCTCACTGAGGGATAAAGCTTTTCCCGCTGTGATGACTGACGGCTCACAGGGGCCTGGTAGGTCTCCAGGATGTACCTCCCCTTGGGCAATCCAACACACCCCCAGACAACTTAACAGTCCTGGGGAGAAACAAACCCAACTTACACCACACTGCTGTACAAATGCTGGTCACACTCAGGCAAGATGATACAATTCACAATTCAAGCCTCCTATGATGATAAATCAAAGAGAATCATCATATATGATGATATGAGAGGACTGAAACCTGTGTCTGGGATACTGGACAGCTGGGACATTTTTTTCCTGCCAGATTGGAGACAAAGGCAGATGGACACATTGAATCTCATTGGAGAACTGCTCACACAAGACGCCCCCAAACACAGAACACCTTCACTACCACTTCAGCATGACATCATCAACTCAGTGTTCATGACTAAACAGTTTGAGAGTAACGAAAAGATACTTCCCATTATATACTATTCCCTATTATAATCCACCACAAAGACATTGATTTTTGGGTCAAACCTTTCTTTGCACATCGATTAAATTAACTTCACACTGTTTTCTCGACAGACCACTTTTACTACACTGTTTATTGTTTCTGCATCAGCTGGAAGGAGAACAAACATCTGGGACTGACCTTTTGAAATTCAGAACTCCACAATTATTTGGAGTTGAGTGAAGCAAATAATGTGTTTCTGATTTCCCCTGAAACCCCTGAAGCCCTGTGTTGTGGCCACCTGCCCCACACCAGCATTTAAGACATGTGTGTGCGTTTGTATCCTTGCGTGTGCATATGTGAGGAATGAAGCGTAAAATGCCCCAGCTGGTGGGAGCTGCCCAGTTCAGACAGAGCTATCACTGCGTCTGTATCTCACAGCAGGCCGGTAAGGTGCCACAGCACAGTTCCGGTTCTATCCCCTGGCAAGCTGGGCACTATGGCTGCCCAGCCTCTGCCTGTGATAAGGAGGCACCTGCTCCTGAATAAACACACTGTGTCAATGAAGTATCTGGGAGCATCCAGCCGACAGGGCATACTGCGGCAAATGCAGGCATGTGTGCAAGCTGGCACTGATGCAGCTACGATAACCATCTTATGGAAATCAAGCTAATTTCATTAAATAAGCCACAGAGGTATGGTTCCACCAGAAAACATCAAGGTGCCTGGAATGAAGGACACATCTTATAATGTATAATTAATATAACAACGTACGTGAAATTGCCTGAAGTGCTGCTAAAGTAACATTATGGCAGCTTGCCATTGTTTGGGGGTAGAGGGGTGTTCCAGGGTACTGACTGCTGAGGCTAGGAAGGTGGTGGAACATCTGCTGAAAGAGAAAGCAGTGTGGGGGTTTGTCAGCATGTGGCCCTGAGCGTGCTGCCGGGGGAGGGGGGACGTTCCCAGAAGCACACAGCACCATGCGGCTGGCTCTAACGCAGAGAGGGGACCCAGCACACAGCACCATGCGGCTGGCTCTAACGCAGAGAGGGGACCCAGCACACAGCACCATGCGGCTGGCTCTAACGCAGAGAGGGGACCCAGCACACAGCTAGGTTAAGCATTGCTGGGAGTTGCGTGAGCTTCTGCTACACTGCTACCATATTGGCTCAGCATGATTAGAAAAGTCAGAAAAAGGGTACAGCTGTGGTACAATTTTGTTCCCCAAGGTACAGTACAAACAACATTGATAGCTAATATACCCCCAATGGTACAAAAATGTTCCTTGGAGTCCATTTCTGTACCTTAAAAGGTACATTTATCTACAGCTATGATACAATTGGGAATTGTATTGAACCCTCATAGGTACAAACAGTATACAGTCTCCCAGCTGAAACGCAACAGAAAGCCTTCAAGTCTGTGATGTGACCACGACTCAGAAACATTATGTACCTGCTGGTTCTTCACAGCTCACTCTGCCTCACCCCCTGCCCCCATCCGATTATGTCTTCGGTGTCACTGAACAAGATGAATGGCAGTGCTGTCAGCCAAAATACTGTCAGGCAGCATGGAGGGTAGCTGTGCTGAGTTCCCCGCTCTGCAGGGGACCTTTAGCCTCAGACGTAGCAGAAGCACCCTCTTAAAATGAGCCCGGCCCAAAGATGCGCATGAACAACAGCTTGTTTCCTGGAAACTGGAAATAACACAGCAGCACCCCCTTGAGCCATTATCACAAATACCATGAATACATTGCCGAAGACTTTGGCTGCTGACCTCGACCACTTCATGGTCCGTGGGGGTCTGGGCAAAGCCAAGGGAGAACATGCTGGCCACACAATCAGGGCCCTGCACCACTGCACCACTACTCTGACATGTTCCTTTTGCACAACAAAAAGCTAGACAA